AACAATCAGAAAGTAGATAGTAGTGAAACACATAAAGAAGCTCCTCAATAAAGCAAAATTTAACAAACATCAGCAGCCACTTAAAGCTATAGACAACTCAATCTAACATGTTTCGTTCTTTTTAAACATTTTTCTAACGTGTTCCTGGTCTTTCTTTCGATCATAACATGATTAAATTTCCTAGATACATTTTCAACCAGAGTTTTTTATTTTGTAGTTCAGGATTTAAAATTCTTTTTTTTCTTGGATACGCCTTCAGTTAAAGCTTTTAGTTTCTTAATCCTTGATCAATTGTTTTCTTAAGCTTTCACTTGAGATACTTAGATTGTCCTGCAAATAAAGTGGAACAATTATTTGTATATCTAACATGTTTTTGAGATAAAGTAGAAATAGTTTCAATCTATCGCCCTTTAGAGATCTGGCCGAAAAGATATCTAACATGAAATTTGGTTTTGTGCTGCTCTTATTCACGTCTCAAATCTGCTCATTGTTTGCCATATATTCTACTCATCTTCATTGAGTTCTACAGATTTCAGAAATATAATAGTGCAAAAGCGATACATATTCATAAACAATAGCAAATCAGATTCATAGTAATTCAAAATCATCTACCATAGATTCATGATTACTTTAACGAATTTGTGAAAACGTTTTCTTAAAACAATCATGATCTTTATTCATTTATTTAATAATTTCTAATAATGAAATGGATCATTTGGCTACAAAAAGAAAAGGTTGATTTGAAGTTGAACACTGATATCTCAAACTGTGTAGCAACTGTATCAAATGGTTTCCCGTTGAGAATGATGTGGTCTCCATTCTTCACATCCTATGAAATAAAGATAAAGAGTAAAGCTACAAAGGGTTTGTGTTTATTTGTTTATACAGCTTCCCTGTTGCTACAAATGTTTATAGTGTTTATTTATTTATCTTTCTGGTAGTTAGCCTTTGATGTTTGTCTTGCTTTAAACTACTGCTATATTACAGGTGGATCGCCTCATGATGGTTTTTGAAGAGCAAATAGGGCTGAATGTTAAAGGCATTGTTGCTCTATCTGGTGGTCATTCAGTGGTATACATAGAAACAGATATGTGTGTGTTGTTGCTCTATTCTGTCAAATAATATTTATATATGAACTATTACTTCAGATAAATGTCTGAACTAATACCAACCACTATATATACATTATTAGCAATTACATGAAATCCGTCTAAATAATTTGTTATGGAACTTAAAACTGGTCTTATCAAACTAAATATTTTTACAAACTCTTAAAAGGCATTTGTTCATTTACCTGTTTATATTTTAGATTCATTTGTACTGGTAAAAGACAGACAACACTAAAAGTTGAAATGTAATCTATGGTAATTAGTTTCTCTCTTCCAAACCCCCCTCACCCTCCTCTTCTCCCAACTTCCTATTCTCAAATTCTTTATTCTCTAATTGTTTAAGCCGTTGTCTATGGTTCTTTCTTCTACAACTCTCACAAGTAAAACATAATATAAAAAAGAACTTTCTTCCCAATTTATTAAGTAAACATTCAGTTTCCTTATTCGTTATTTCGAGGTAAAAATGCAGTTTTTGTACTTTAATCCATACTCATTTCTTTCTTTCTTTTACGTATAGTTCTTTTTCCTATATATTATCTATCCCTGGGCTAAGACTTTAAACCATAATTGTTGATGCGGGTGTTCATTGATAATAGAAAACCCACTAAATCTATCGCAAAGCAAATCCAAATTTGCGCATTTAATAGTTTCATGCAACATCTCGAGGGTAGTTTGTATAGTCAATAGCTTTTTGGGTAATTTGTATACTTAAATACTCAATAGGGTTTTTGTTGGTTACTTTTTTTTCATGCCTATTAAAATGTATTCTAGAAAAGACTAGAAGCCTTTTTTGCTTCCATCTGTTCAAAGGACATCAGTTCAGAGAAGAAGTTTTGATGATCATATCAGTTGGAAACTTTGAGCAAAATATTCATACCGAGAGGCACCCCATGGCTCCACACCTTTCCTTTATTTGATTAGAGAGAGTTTTTCGCCAATCACATGAGATCATCATAGGAGTTTCATGCAACACTAAAACAATATGATGCTCACATAATGGTATTCTCTAGAAATTTCTGAAGATAGGATTTTCTTTCCTTGATGCATTTCTTTTATTGCCTGGGAAACTTAATAGCAACATTGTGAGTAAATTTGCATTATGCTCTTGATTGTGGTTCATATACACGACCTATAGATGTGCAAAGTTTGTGACTACCTTTTCAGATTATTTTTTCCTTCAAAATTTGGATTGTAGGTGCTTATATGCAAAATGAAATTTCTCTTTCAGGTTGTTTCTGGATCTGCAAAATATGCATGAATTATCAACTCTAACAGCTTTGGGTAGGACTCTAAGCACTTGCTTAATTGGTGTATTTTTCTGAATAGAAAAAATTGCAATTATGTTATGTCTGGGGCAAGTCATTGTCAAATTGGGTTCATTTTAGATCGATCGGATGTTGATGGGAGGAGGCAAGCTTCACACTCATTCATTGTTGTAGTTAGAGTATTCTCTTTCTTGAGAAAATGTGGAAATGAAGATTTATATAGGGAGTTCTACCATTGTGGCTGTGCATGTCAATTATGCTGAGATGTTACTAATTTTATTGCTAATGGAAATTATTTATGTATGCTTGCTACTTGATAACTTCGTAGGTAATTCGTTAGTTTGTTATCCCGTGCAACGCACGGGTAAAAGACTAGTAGGCTAGTAAGACATGTGAAGTAAACACACAGGTAGATTAAAAAATGTTTACTAACCGAAACAGGTGCAACTGCCGCTTACTAAGAATATCACCCTCTATGTATTAATTAAGTGGAAGTTTAAGCTTTTTTTCTTCAGATTTTGAATTTACCGTACCCTACCCTTCCCCTTTCCCTTACCCCCTTATTGTTACCTCTACCCTACCCCTACCCTTGACACTATTGCCCCTACCCGTACCCTTCCCACTAGCTCTTCCCCTACCCGTACACGTACCCCTACCCCCACTCCCTACACTCACCCACTACCCCTTACCCCCACCTCGAGCCAGTGCTTGTGCCTACCCATAACTATCCCTACTTGTCCCTGTAATCCTACCCCTGCGCGTTACCCTTATCCCGACCATACCCCACCTCACTCCTACCCGTCACCTATACCCCTTTCCCCCTACCCCGACCCTAGTACGCTTGTCCCTATCCTAACCTCATACCTAACCAAACCCCTACCCTGCCTCAACCCCCCTATACCCCTTCCCCGTAACCCCTGCCCCCCTTACCCCATACCTCGGACCCCTACCTCTTACCCTGACCCTATTACATATTTTTTATTTTTAAAGTAAATTGCAATTAATGGGTTTTTGGGTCCAAGTCCAGACTGAGTTTTTCCAAGTCGATCGGGTTTTTCTGGTTTTTAACTAATCAAACAAGATTTTGGTCTTGGTTGACCCGGCTCGGTCGGGTCAATTTTTTAAACATAACTAATAGGGTTAACTTATCATATTATATACTTACGTACGTAATAATTACTTAATTTATGTCATGTGCATCACAAGAATCTAGTTCAGGACAGAAACAGTACAGTCTTAGCATGGCTGTTCCTAGTATAGGGGCAGCTGGGTTGCAGCCCAAAGCCCATAGGAAGAGAGCCCCATAAATTACATAGTAGTACTCCGTAGTAGTATAAATATTGAGTGACATTCATCTGATCTCATGTGATCCTAACTGGGAGTGTTGTATGGCCAATCTCATTTGAGGTGCTTCCGGGTAGTATTTTTAAATGAAAATTTGTCAGCATGTTCTCAATCAAGCGTAGATTATGTACACAAAACTTCAATCCGAAAATTAGTTAAATAAATTATTGGAAAACACCGTACTTTATAATTGTATAAAAATTATTGTAGTGTGTTTCAAAAATTTATTTAACCGACTTTCCGGTTAAATTTTAAGCTTAAATTTTATGGACATAATCTACACTTTGTGAAGAACATTTTCACAAAATTTCATAAAAAATGTGACCCGGAAGTATCTCAAACGGCTTTGACTGTACGAGACATCTAGTCAAACGTGCATGACCAGATCATTTCTCTATACTCTAATACTTCATAAAAGATACTACGTACCTCCGTTCACCTAATATTGGGACGGAAGAGAGTGGTGTGGTTCTTAAGAAAAGTGGAATTAAGTGGTTGATAATGAATTGATAAAGTGAGAATAAAGAATGAAGTAGAGTCACACAAATGTTACCAAATATGGTAGGAGACAATAATAGGGGGACATCCAAAAATGAAAAAATGGACTATTATAGACGGTCAGAGAGAGGGATATCTCTCAACCCTCATATTCGTAGACAGAGACGTAGTGGCAAAAATACACGCAAAACATCATCAGACTACTTTCTACCTTCCTCACAAAAGTCGAGAACGGAGAAATGATAGTATTATTAACGATTTTACTTCTAAGAATGTCCAAATAATAAAATTGTTACATGTCTTTTGATACCGAGTAGCTCTATGGCCAACAATATTTACTTATGTAATCAGTTTTTTATTTTTGACATTGAAGAATTTGCAATACATTTACATACTTCATCCGTCCCTTAAAACTTTGTCAATTTTCTTTTTTTGGGTATCCACTAACTTTGTCACTTTGTAATTTAAGTAAATAATTTGTGGTCTTAAACGTCCACCACATAATTTTTATTTTATTAATTCTCGTGTCGGTCAAACCTGACAAAATTTTGCGTTTTGTCGTTAGAAACCCATGGTCTAAGTTGAAGTTGGAGCGTGAGGCGCCTATTAAATGGTTATGCGTGCCTTGTAGTACAATATACACGTGGAGAAGTAAAAGGAAAAGAACATTTCCCTACCACAAAACAATACCGGACCAAGGCAGTAAAATCTCCATTTTTTCCTCTTTGGCTATATTTAATCAAGCACAACTATAAGTAGCCGCTACTTTTTCCATTTCTTTTTCAAGCTTCGTTCATTCTTCCATCTAGGTTTTAATCAGTTTATTGACATCTTTTTAAAACCTAGATAATATATAAAAAGAAGCAAAAACTATTCTTCATTGTTCGCGTATACTAGAAACGGATATTATCCAATTTTACGGTCAGGTTAATAATTAATCTCTATTTCTTTCTTCTGAAACAATTTGTTCATCTCAAATAGTCACTTTTATTAGGAATTAATTTTCTTAAGCAATTTACACACCAATTTATTGAGTTATTTTTGGAGGTGATTTTATATCTATTCCTTTTTCCTCATAAGTTATTTTTGGAGGAAATCATATATATATATATATATATATATATATATATATATATGATTTGGTTCAAATGAGTATTCAATTTAAGGAGATAAATGACAATGAAACTGAAGCTTTAAATTTGGGAATTATGCATTTTGTGAAATGGAAATGTACAATATCATAAATTAGACAATGTGGTAGTATTTTTTAGAATAAATTCAATTTTTTTTGCTCATTTGAAATGTGGATTATTTTAATTACAAATATGCACCTCCGTAAACCACAATGTACATCATTTAAGATTATTCTCATTTTTCACGGGAAGAAGTATTTTCACCGGAATAAAACCCTATATATACATATGTATATATGCACATACATATACATTAAGAGGTCTTTCCTTAAGTTAAGAGGTCCTTTTACTGATTTGTAAATTTGTACATAACACTTGTAACTAATTAAAGTTATTATTATGATAACTAATTAAATTTGTACATAACGCTTTTAATATAGTTATATATCTGCCATTATTTCATAAATTAAAGACTTGAATGGTAGTGGGAAAGATTAATTTTAGTGAAAGAAAAATATACTACGTATGTTCGATATTTTAAAGAAGCTTTTGATACTATTTTATTATTATTATTAATTATATAATGTTATGTATATGTATGTAGAAATGGCACGGCCGAAATATCAGTGGGCGTGTTTGTTCATTTGCCTATTTAGTGTAGTACGGAAGATTGATGGGGTTAACGTTACTCTTACCGTTCTAGACTCCGCCACGTCTAAAGGAGCAGGTAATATTACGGATCAATCATCTACTCTTTAATATTCTGGATATTACTCATCCAGAATAATTGGTGTTAAAGACATACTACCTCCATTTCCAAAAGATTTGTCTTTTTTGTTAAAGATGATAAATTTTGAACACTTATTTTAATTATATTTGTATATAATTTAAAAAAATTATACTTTTAAAAAAATATTTTGAATAAGTAACATTTTGATATGTTTTTCATATTCAAAATAATTTCATATCAAAAAGTATCATTAGTTAAAGTTAATTGCTATTGACCAAGAAAAATTAATTTGACAAACATTTTCGGACAAATGGAGTACAATAAAATGAACTATTTTCATCAGTGGACAAGTTCATCTTGGCATCACAAGTAAAATCACGAGGTTAATATATACTGAAAGTATTTATATCACATTATAATTATACTGAACTTAAATAGATCATACCAAACTAAGATTTATAACTTGGAGTTTTTTATTCCAAAAAAAACTTGGAGTTTTCCCTAAACTAAATTTACTCTAATTTTTTGCACCGAAAAGCAGTCCATGATCTTTTCTTATATTTTGGCGAAGTTACTATTATGTTTTATCAAAATTACAAATAAATACTCATAACGTATATATCGTTTTTATATTTTATGCGTGTAAACTTGAATTTAGTTTGTCTGGACGGAAGTCCACCGGGATTTTACTATGATAAAGGATACGGCGAAGGAGTGAATAAATGGGTGATATTTCTAGAGGTATGGTCCTCGATCCCTTTAATTTATTATTTCATACTAGTATTATTTGGTATGTTGCTCCTTCAAATTAAACACAGCTCTCAAATCCCATATATGTGACAAAATCTATGACAAACTTGTCACAGATCAAATCTGTGACAAAAATCTTTGACAAAAACGTTGTTTTTTGTAGTGTGATGAAGTATTTATTCATATCATTCAAGAATAAAATATAAAATTAATATATACATATATAATGTGCTAAGATCTATAGTTCCTTTTTAATAAAAAGTTAACCTTATAGGAGGAGTTTTGATTTTAATTCAGTATTTTATTAGTTCATATTTTTTGTGTGAAAAATATTTCCACACCCTCTAAGTTAACTGGTGTTATCAATTTTCACATTTATTTTATTTTTTCAGTTGGCGTTTTTTCTGTTGTTTGTCAAATATATTAACAAGCTATTAACATAGGGAGGAGGGTGGTGCCAGAATGGTTTAGATTGCAAGAATCGAGCCTATGGGAGATTAGGATCTTCCAAGGCCATGAACCCCACGAATAATTTGGGTGACATGTTAAGCGAAAGCTCAACAGAAAATCCAGGTAATTATTATGCAATCGTTAATACGAAGTAATTGGAGTACTATTTGTAATTTATTTAAGCTAAGGTTCAAAATTAAGAGCACGTTTACTAATGCAAAAAATCGGTTGATTCTTCTGAGATTTATGAAGTTCTGGTTGAAGTGGCTGAATTGACTGATTATGCTGATTTATTAAAAAATTGTATTTAAAATATATTTTATTAATAAAATAAAGAAAAAGTTATATGTAATAATAGCCAAAATAATCATCTGCAGTAACTTCAGCCAATACGGTCGGGAAAATAATTTCAACCTTACTTTTTCTTATTATTACGCAATTCAGCGCGTGAAATAAAAAACTACGTGTTTGGTGAAAAAGTTCGCTGATAAGCCTGATAAGCCCAAAAACTGGGCTACCAAACGTGCTCTAAATTAATGTGTCTAGTATGTATAATATATGTAGTTACGTCTTTAATGAATAAAACTGTGTATAAATTTGCAGATTTTTTTAACTGGCATAGAGTTCATGTTGCTTATTGTGATGGATCGTCTTATACCGGTGATGTTGAAGAAGTTGATCCTGTACGTGCGATGCCTTATTACTAATCTTTAATGATAGGATAGTTCTCCTATTTGAAATGATTAACTTGTTAAAAGTCATTCTTCATCTTATAGCCTAAAATTTTATATAATGATTTATTATTTTTTATGAAAAACGTGTGAGTTTTCCCAAAATATGATCATGTGTGTTTTCATATCATCCCTATGACCAAACATAAAAAGCCAAACATGGGTGCACACTTGAATAGGAGGGAAGTGTTGAGAAAATAACCACCCACGTGAATGAAGGTCATCATGTGAGGTCATAGATTAGGATAAATATTAAACTAGTCATATAATGGGGAACTACATCATCTTTTAGTAATATTCATGATAAATTTCTCAAACTCATTTGATAACGTTGAATTTGATTGAATTGGTTCGAAATGTCGAAAGTAATAGAAATTTTGACTGAAATAGCTTTATTAATCGTGAGACAAATAACTCAACATAACTAACTTGTCACTTTTTCTGTAGGCTACCAATGACGTTTATAGAGGAGCAAGAATTTTTGATGCATTAATGGAACACTTTTTAGCACAAGGAATGAAAGATGCAACAAATGTAAGCCATCTTGCTTTTCGCGTTATTTTGATATTTTAATTCCTTACATCGCGACTCCATGTAGACACATTTATTTACGTAATATTTAGCTCCATGTATGTGCCTTATAAAAATTAAAAAATAGGTCCATGCATGGTATGAATTGAACATTACTACGTAGTATTATGACTCAAAAATGACTGTTAAAGTTTAGGATTTCCAATTTACTCTTTTCCATTTTTTTTCTTATATTTTAACTCATTATTTTATGTACTGAACACAAGGGCCGGCGTAGTCCAAGGAAAAATAATTGGATACCGCCAGGGCGGAGTCAGAGCACCGAGTCCGAGTAGGTCGACACAAAGAAATTTTTTTTGGAAAAAAATTACATGAAATTTTAACACAAGGCCTAGGTTGACCCCTCTACCTCTGAGGATCTGCCCCTGGATATAGGTTGACCGTAATTTGGTAAAAACTTACTCCTTATAATTTTTGTAGATAAAGATTTTGTAAATTAATTTGGGTCAGACTTGAGTATAATTACATATTTATAGTTTATATTTTGTAAGTCAAAGTGAGAAGAATTATCTAGGACGGAGGGAGTGTATATTAAGACATACTATTACATACTCTGATCTGTAGTACGTTACTTTAAAGGCTTAAGTTTTTGTTCTTATATTTTGAACCTATTATAATATTAGTTCTATACACTAAAAGTTAATGAATTAGTAAAAAGGTATGTAACACAGAAACTTTCAGGAAAAAGCATGTTTCCATTTCGGAAACTCTACGAAAACTTTTTGGAAACTATACAAACAAACGTTTTTTTACAAAAGTTGACGACGCTTCCCGTTTCCTGTTTCCTCTTGATTTTCGCGTTTTCGTGCAACATAGTTTAAAAGCTGGTTTTCGTCATATACAAAACCTGACTGTGGGTAAAATTGCATGTATATGGATGTAGGCAATCCTTGCAGGTAATTCAGCTGGGGGACTTGCTACGATAATACATTGTGATCGTTTTCATGCTCTTTTCCCAAGCACCACCAGAGTGAAGTGCCTTGCCGATTCTTCCTACTTTATACATGAGTATGATTTTAAAATATATATTTTCATCTTTTTTATTGATATTATTATTAGATTGTAAGCTTTTATAATAGGGTCTTTCTACCGTGCACTAACTAATGTAGTGTGTTTTGATACATTGCATTTCTTATCCAATAAAATCATAGCATAGTGCCACATCATAGTGTCATACTTTTCTCAAATATTTGTTGCATGAGCATTAGACCAATAGGGTACCGGTGCATAGTAATTTAAGCAAGGCATCATAGAATTTCCCTTTATAATATTACAAGTCCTCTAAACTGTTGCACCTTTCAACATGCAGTGATAAAATACAAGGAGACAAACTATTTGAAACCAGCTTTGAGTTTTTGGTTAATACAATGGTACGCATTTTCCACTCCCATATTTCTCAATTGGCAAGTTTTTAATTAATCCATTCTCTGGCTACAAAATACATTTCATTGTCCATTCAACACATCAATAAAGTGCTAGCTAGCAAAAGTAGTGAAATTGGTAAAAGAATATTGTTACTGTTAGTACAATAAAACTAATTAGGTTATGGTTGTTATGTTTTAATGCCAAATAATTAATCACTTTCAAAATCATAGGGTGCATAATCATAATTACTGAAATTATTAATATGGTCGTTATTAGGTTGTATAAAAATCCCATTTTTGTTCAATATCTTTATCAAATACTCCATCCATCCCGCAATGAACTTCCCACTTTCCTTTTTTGGATGTCCCAGAAACAAGTTCTCATTTCTTTAAATGGCAAGTTAATCTACGTCAAAACAGTGTCAAACAGTGCAAAATAGTGCCAAACAGTGTCGAAACAGTGCCAAACAGTATCGAAACAGTGTCAAAACAGTAAAATTTACCCCATGGTAAATTTATTTTCTTAATATGTGTAGGTCAAACTGTGAAGTTCATTGTGAGACGGAGGGAGTATGAAGTATAATACATGACTTACTTATAATTACTAATCATAGGAATTAGTCATAAGTCATAACTAACTACAATACACACACATATATGTATGTATTTATGTATATTAATGTTAAAATTGTCTATATAAATCTAAATTACATACAGGGATCAGCTAAATCCTTGCCTCAAGAATGCACTTCAAAAATGAAACCATCGCTGGTAATATTATAATCCTCAAAGTAATTAATTATATGCTTACATCCATGCCAAACACATATGTGTACAATGTGTGTGTGTGTATATATTAATATTTTCTAAGATTAACTAACCACATTAAACTAATCATTGAAATGCAGTGTTTCTTCCCTCAAAATTTACTACAATATATCAAGACACCGGTCTTTCTTACCATGTCAGCATTTGACCAAATTCAGGTTCAAATTTGTTTTCCATGAATAAGCTTAGACCATACATTTCAGCTTTAATTCTTTTATTTACTCTAACAAAATTTCAAAAAAATCATTCAACCATCATACATTTTGCTACAGATGAGGTATGGGTTGACTCCATCATTCGAAAAGTGTGCTGTGTATAATAATTGCTCTGCCTTTGAGTTAAAAACTATCCAAGGTTTGTAATAATAATGTCAAATCATGCATGCATGTGTTTACCATTTACTTTGATTGGTTGATATCATATTTCTTTATTATATAATTAAAAAATAGAAATAATTAATTAAACTGGCGCGGGTGATAATAAACAAGTGGACCGAGTGGTATATGTTGGAAATATGTACAAAAAAATTGTACTCGGGAAATAAACTTTTTCGGCCATTGAGATACATTAATGTATTTTATATATATTAATGTAATTAATTTTACAACATTGGTAATATATTTTCTCTAAAAATTATTTTTTTTGAATCCATTTCAGTCAAATGAATATTCATAATCATAATGTTTGAGTAAAGCTAATACAATTGCGTCATAGAATCATGTTGCTTGTACTAGCTATTTGATAGAAAATGGTATGTACTCAATTCTTAACATATTGAACTATTTAGTGATTTTCTTGAATAAGAATGCACAAAATATTTCAATATTATTGTTAAGACCCGGCCAAACACTACAAAAAAACCACATGATTGACAGAGATTTTGGCATGGATATGATAGGGATTTTGGCAAGGAAATGTCAAATTCGTGCCAAAAACACTTTGACACGAGCTATTTGGCACGAAAAATCGATAAGTCCGTGCCAAATTATGTGCCAATCCCGTAATTTTTTTGTAGTGAAACGAAAACGAGTTATTGATTATTAGCTCGTTCCAAAAAGCATAATGGTTATGTATGTATTTATTTATTGTTCATCAGATCAAAGAATGGACTTCTTAAGCCTACTTCCAAAAAGTGACTCCTCATCAACAGCAATTTGGGTCCCTAATTGCGTTAGTCATGAATTCACATACTTTTCATGGAATGGACCGAATAAAATCAAAGTCATGGGAGACAAGGCAAGTAGTTGTGTTCTCTATTATTACTAATTTTAAATTTTATTATTCTATAACTTTTTTGTTGTATATATATTTTCAACAAATCGCAACATTATAATTTAATTAATACGCACATGTTTATTGTTTTGCATGCATGCAGACATACGCAGAAGTATTCGGTGATTGGTATTTTGACCGGAACACAAGTCCGATTCGGGCGATTGACCGGTCCGACATGCCCGTTGACTGCACTGCATTTGGGCAACACCCACGTTGAATTATAATTTTCGTAGATTACATGTCAGGAGTTAAAAAGAACAATAATATATACTCCGTATATATATACTCGATCTGTATATAACAGTGGAATGTGTAAACCAAGATTATATATATATACACACGAGTGACGAGACTGTATTTGCATTGATGAGAAAGAAAAAAGAAAAAACTCAAAATTAGTACAAACTGTTATTATATCATTCGTGTGTCTCTACAAGTAGGGGATAGAGGGGTATATATAGGGAGATACATGGGCCTAGTCATGGGCTTGGGCTAAGAGGGAGTAGTGTATATTTATACATTACATAACACTCCCCCTTAAATATACACTACTAAAAAAATACGTTTAAGGATGCTGCCTCATTAAAAACCTTGCCAAGGAAAACCCTGTGGGACAAAACCCTGGTAAGGAAAAAAGAGTGCAGCGCGTATTTACTCCCCCTAATGAATATATTACTCAAGATCCTTGTGTCGACGTAATCCAATCAGGTGCACTAACTTCTTGAAAGTTGTTGTTGGAAGAGCCTTGGTGAATAAATCCGCAACGTTGTCACTCGAACGAATTTGTTGAACGATAATCTCACCTTCTTTCTGAATGTCATGTGTATACCAAAATTTTGGTGAAATATGTTTCGTCCTATCTCCCTTGATGAATCCTTCCTTAAGTTGGTGGATACAAGCTGCATTGTCTTCAAACAAGATGGTCGGAGGCTCCTTTTTAGACCATAATCCACATGACTGTCTAATATGCAGAATTACACTTCTTAAGTATACGCATTCTCGACTGGCTTCATGAATGGCTAATAGTTCTGCATGATTAGATGATGTTGCCGCAATTGTTTGCTTCATGGAACACCATGAGACTGTTGTTCCTCCACATGTAAACACATATCCAGTCTGTGATCTTCCTTTATGAGGATCAGACAAATAACCTGCATCTGCAAAACCAATCAATTCTGTTTTGGACATGTTAGAAAATAATAGACCCATGTCTTTCGTACCTTGAAGGTAACGAAGTATTTGTTTGACCCCATTCCAATGTCTGCGCGTTGGAGAAGAACTATATCTTGCCAATAAATTTACAGCAAAGGATATATCGGGTCTTGTGTGACTTGCAAGATACATTAGTGCTCCAATTGCACTTAGGTATGGTACTTCTGGACCAAGAATATCCTCATCATCTCCGCGCGGTCTAAATGGGTCCTTATCAACTTCAAGTTGTCTTACAACCATCGGGGTGCTCAAAGGATGTGCCTTATCCATTAAAAATCTTTTTAGCACCTTCTCTATATAGGTTGTTTGATGCACAAGGATACCATTATCTAAATGATCAATTTGTAATCCTAGGCAGTATTTGGTTTTCCCAAGATCCTTCATTTCAAATTCCCTTTTCAAACATTCAACTGCCTTTTGTAGTTGTTCAGGAGTTCCAATAATGTTTAGATCATCAACATAAACTGCAATAATGACAAACTCCTCACCAGATCTCTTAATAAAAATACATGGGCATATATCATCATTTTTGTACCCTTCTTTTAATAAGTACTCACTTAGACGATTGTACCACATACGTCCTGATTGTTTTAAACCATATAGAGATCTGTTTAGTTTAATAGAATATTGTTCTCGAGAACCTCTATTGCATGCTTCAGGCAGCTTAAAACCTTCCGGAAGTTTCATATATATATCAGTATCAAGCGAGCCATATAAATAGGCTGTCACTACATCCATGAGGCGTAAATCTAGTCCTTCACGTATTGCCAGACTAATTAGGTATCTAAAAGTAGTAGCATCCACCACAGGAGAATATGTCTGATCATAATCAATGTGGGGTCTTTGTGAAAATCCTTGTGCAACTAAACGGGCTTTATATCTGATAATTTCACCCTTTTCATTTCTTTTACGCACAAAGACCCATTTATAACCCACTGGTTTAACATCTTCAGGTGTTTTAACCACGGGTCCAAAGACTTCTCGCTTTTCTAGTGATTGTAATTCAGCCTCAATTGCATCTTTCCATTTTGGCCAATCATCTCTGCGTCTACATTCTTGCATTGTTCTTGGTTCTTGATCCTCATTTTCATTCATTATATCTAATGCTATATGATATGCAAAAATATCATTTTCTTCATCATCATCGACGTCGATTTCATGTCGGTTCCAAACAATTCCCGTCGTGACATAATTTATTGAGATCTCTTCATTTTCAGGTACCCGATCCTTTTCTGGATTTGTAGTTACGTTAATGTTCTCTTCAGGAGAATCTACTCTCAAGTGTATTTTATCCTCTTCTTGGCCATTTTCATTCTTTGCTCCCTTTCTTTTTCGAGGATTTTTATCTTTGGAACCGATTGGTCTTCCACGCTTCATGCGCGTTTTTGATTCATTTGCAACGACTTGTCCTGCTGGGACATTTAGTCTAATGGGAGCATTGGCAGCTGGTACTAGTGACTTTGTCACTCCTTTAGTATTAGTAAAAGCGTCTGGCAATTGATTCGCTAAACCTTGTAAATGTATTATCTTTTGGACTTCAATCTCACACTCTTTAGTACGAGGATCAAGATGTAATAATGATGCTACAGTCCAACATAATTCTTTCTCCAGCTGCTTTCTTTCTCCCCCTAATGTTGGGAAATTTGATTCATTAAAATGACAATCAGCAAATCTAGCTGTAAATAAATCCCCCGTTGATGGCTCTAAATATCTTATTATGGAAGGAGATTCATAGCCAACATATATTCCCAACTTTCTTTGGGGTCCCATCTTAGTACGTTGTGGTGGAGCAATAGGTACATATACGGCACATCCAAATGTTCTTAGATGGGAAATATTTGGTTCATTACCCAAAACCATTTGTAGGGGAGACGATTCACAATAACTTGTTGGCCTGATGCGAATTAGCGTTGCCGCATGTAAAATTGCATGCCCCCAAGCTGAAATAGGGAGTTTACATCTCATAAGTAATGGTCTTGCAATAAGCTGGAGTCGTTTAATTAGTGACTCTGCGAGACCATTTTGAGTATGAACATGTGCTACAGGATGCTCTACTTTTATCCCGATGGACATACAATAATCATTAAAAGCTTGGGAGGTGAACTCACCGGCATTATCAAGGCGAATAGTTTTAATTGGATAGTCAGGAAAATGTGCTCTTAATCTAATTAATTGAGCCAGTAATCTCGCAAACGCCAGGTTGCGAGTCGATAATAAGCACACATGTGACCATCTAGTCGATGCATCGATTAAAACCATGAAATACCTAAATGGTCCACATGGTGGGTCAATTGGCCCACATACATCACCTTGAATACGTTCTAGAAAGGAAAGTGATTCCGTTCTAATTTTAGCCAGTGAAGGTCTAGTAATTAATTTTCCCTGAGAGCAAGCAACACAAGATAACTCATTGGTTTGAAGAATCTTCTGATTCTTGAGTGGATGTCCACATGAGTTATTAATAATTCTTCGCATCATTGTTGATCCGGGATGGCCTAGTCGGTCATGCCAAATAATAAACTTATCATGATCCATAAACTTCTGGTTTATGGTCATATACGATTCAATTGTACTAATTTTGGTGTAGTACAATCCAGATGAAAATGCGGGTAATTTTTCCAACACCCTTTTAATACCCGAAGTTTTGTCGGTTATGTAGAGATATTCAGTATCTCCTTCTCTGGTTGTTTCAATATGATATCTATTTCGGCGGATATCTTTAAAACTTAGTAAATTCCTTTTAGATTTGGGGGAATATAATGCATCATCAATTCGGAATTTTGTACCTCCGGACAACACGAGATTGGCTCTTCCGGAGCCATCTATTAATTTATTAGCACCAATAATGGTGTTAACATTTGCCTTTTGCATTTTCAACTCAGAAAAATAGTGAATATTTCTAAGTATTGTATGCGTAGTAGCACTATCAGCAAGGCACAACTCTTCACCATTCATAGTAATTTGGACAACATTTGTGTCCATTTTCACTATAAATTAAAATTATCTAAATCAATAATAAAAGAATCATGTTAATAAAGTGTCCACGATGAAAATTGTCAAATATAATGTGCACATCAAAATTAAGGTCTATGTAAATTATTCTAACCACATCAAAACAAAATGATAAGTTCTTTGCATAGATCATAACATGATCCATAAAGTAAACAATTTAAAAACATAATACTGAAATAAATAAAGTCCAATCCAGTAAATGAAAATAGTGCAATGCCAAAACATAGAAAATAATCAATGTTTTTCTTCTAGAAAATCACCAACTTCCAAATGGGTTGAGCTTTCAGGTTCGTCAAGGAGGTCATCATCATCAAAGGCAAAATTTGTCTCAACCTTGTTCTCTTTATTCTTCAATGACTGCTGATAGAGCTCCACTAGATGCTTGGGCGTACGACAGGTACGCGACCAATGATTTCTTGCTCCACATCGAAAACATGTAATTTCTGTCTTTTGAGAACAACCCTTACCATAATTCTCATTTTTCTGCCACTTCTGGTGGCGAGATGGGCCCTTGAAGTGGGTGACCCGACCACCTCTATAACCACCTCGATGAGTGTGACCACCACGATTGCCATGGTAACTCCCCCTACCGCGACCTCGCCCATGCCCCCGGCCACGACTGCTAGCGTGGCTTCTTTCTTTCTTATTGCTATTATTATTAGTCACCGCATTCGCTTCAGGGAATGACGCTGGGGTAGAACCAGTGGGGCGAGTTTGATGATTCTTCAGGATCAACTCATTATTTTTCTCAGCAACAAGTAATTGATTCATCAAGTCAAAATATTTTGTATACCCCTTTTGCCTGTGTTGTTGGGACAGAACACTATTTGATGGATGAAAAGTGGAGTATGTTTTCTCAAGCATTTCATCATCAGTTATTTTTTCTCCACACAGCCTTAGCTGAGAAGTAATTCTATACATTGCTGAATTGTAATCAACCACAGACTTAAAGTCTTGTAATCTTAAATGAGTCCATTCATAACGAGCCGCGGGGAGTATGGTTGTTTTCTGATGGTCATACCTTTGTTTAAGGTTTTCCCATAGTTCTAGGGGGTCTCTCTCAGTTAAATACTCAGACTTTAGGTCTTCATGGAGGTGGTGTCTCAGAAAAATCATGGCTTTGGCCTTGTTTTCTTTTGATGTGGTATTGCCAATTTTTATGGTATCACCTAAGCTCTTGGC